TGTTACATAGTTAATTCAGCAGCGGACATATTTACTTTCCTAGCCCAACGACAAACTTTTAGATAAATTATTTTTTCTCGCAAATCGATGTGAAAAGTAAAGTTTTCACCTCAAGACTGAAAGCCTATACAATAGACGCCCATCGAATATATAATCAGAAACAGAGATGAAACAAGGGCCATCCATCCCTGGCAACTCATCAAGTAAATGGGCCTTATATCAACTATATATTTAACTATATATTTTAAATATCAACACTCGTTTGCGTTGAAATCACAAATTAGAAAGCTGAAATAGTACAGCGCCAACAACTGACTCAAAAATATTCTGTATTTATTGTAATAAAGATAATATCTCTAACAATGGGGCGCTGTTCCATTCGGTGGTGTGGGAAAAACTGCAAAACATCTAATTACATCAGTACAGAGTACTAAAAAAACCGACCTCAAAAGTATGTGGAATTGCGTCTATTTGCTAAGTTTTATTGAAATATCCCCTAGTTCGCCACTATACAGGACTTGACACTGGAGATAATAAAAATCGGTTCTCACTACGACACTACTCAAAGTATATTGAGAGAAAAACGCTTTGAATGGAAGAAATAGCAAAATCAACCATTAAAGTAATTGCTCCTAAATTAAAGTTAGGCGCTATTTATAAAAGTGAATCTTCATGTATGAACAGCCACCCTTCGAGGTGGATGATTTTCTTCAAAATGAAATGGGACCACTATGGAAGTACCCCCTTTCCAACAAAAAAAGAATCATGAAAATCGGTTCACAAATACCGGAGTTATCGCGTAACATACATATGAAAAAAAGAACATACAGTCGAATTGAGAACCTCCTCCTTTTTTGAAGTCGGTTAAAAACAAACGGAATCACAATTCATCGGTAATTAAAAATTAAACATGTAATTTTTAAATTTTCGTCCATTATAGCAAAGCTCAAGGTAAAGGTGGTCGGTTTGAAGTGAAACAATTGACGACACCTGTCGATTATTTCCAATTCGGGCTGGCCAATCGGAGCGCAATTGTCAACGTAATGATTTGACAGAATAGTTTTCAAACAAATTATTTCTAGTTATATACCTATTCGATGTAGACGCCCTAGCTAAAGCTCGGGTGGTATATATTGGCTCGGATTAGTCCCCTATAAAAATATCCTATTATGCTCGGTGTAAATTAATTCGTCCACATCGATATTGTATTAAGGTCAGAGTTGCGCGATGGTATAGTGCGATGAAGGGAGATAGCAATACACGTTATTTAGTAAAACGGAAAGAGACGGACGCGGAGGATATTATTGATTGACAAGCGCATCTTCCTGTTTGCGTATACATAGGTATGTATAATACGTATTTGATTTTGTGTTTAAAGTAAAATAGCAAGTACACTGTGGAATAAATCACGTCTTTTTAGCATAATTTAAGTTTGCGGAACTAATATCACACAATTTGATTGCAGATCAATGTGATTTGCACTTTTTGTGGTTTTTTCTCGTAAGTTCGATACACGTTCTATATAAATGCTTCAAATAGAAGTAAAGGAAGGCGTCGGAGGAATATAATGAATTGTCATATTGCAAAGTAATAGTCGTCGAGAAACGAACAGAATAGATTTTTTTTAAATGACCATTTCTTTGATACCAAATATGACAAAAGAAAAATGATTAATTTGTTTTATTTTCTATTTGTTTTTAATTTTGACAATTTGCCAAAAAAATTACTTATAGATTTATGACACTTCATAGTTGAGGACGAGATAAGTTCCCTAAGAGCGCTATTTTCTTCTGATTTCATTATCTTCAAACTTCTACATATATATGATTATGTACCAGCGTTGGAGTGTACCTCGATTCTCTACATGCTTATCGGATTTCTACCGGAATCGAACCCGAGACCTCTGTCTGGCTGTCCAGCTTGGTAACCATTCGCTCACCGAGGCAATACAGCTTACTAGGTAATAAGTACGGAATGTGTGCGTTACATTTGAATTTTACCCCAGTAAGCAGCCCCTATGCCTATCTGTTGCTTCTAGCAGGTCTTCGCGGGTGCAACTGGTCAGACAAAATGGACATGAGAGCAAGTGAAACAAACCACTTATGTTGAGGATCCGCAACCACAATGGTTTTCAGTCGGACTGACATATTTCACCATGTCTCTACATCGGCCAAGTGGTGTCCTGAGATGATGTCGGGATAACCACATTGACCATTTTATTCGTGCCCGGGCGAAGACTTTCGATTAGGGTGACAAAATCAAGAGAAGCAGTGTGTTCAGCTTGACAAAGTTACCTACCTATTAAGGTAACTGCCCACTTCCCAACAAGCACATAAGCTGCTTATATGACTTTTGTATAACCTAAAAGTTGCATATTAGCTGTTTGAGGGACTTACTATAGTGCTTAAGTTCTTCAGTAGCGTATTCAAAAGTAATTAAACGGAGGCAAGTCGTACAATAGCCGTATAACGTTAAATGTAATCCTAAGAGAGATAAAAAGACTAGTCATAGAGCTATTGTATGGGTATTTGATGTAAAGCAGACTTATAAATACCAGTGTGAGGTTATGTAGACGGCTTTTAAAGTTAGAAGTGTTTGAATGGAGTTACTAGCTTCCTTTAAAAGGCTTGAAGCAGTATGTTGTATATTTCTAAGGGTTTTATTAAAACGCTTTAGATGGTATATAGTATGTTTCTAACGCCTGCAGTGTAAAATAGAGTTCACTACAGCCTTTGGAACGATATATCTATAGCAGATAAATATATTTCTAAAGTAGTTACTTTTAAAAACGTACAATTGTCAAATGTACTCGCGTCAATATCACAATTGTAAAACCGAAAGGTCTATAACGGTGAATGCTAGGGGCTTAAATCAGTAAAACGCTGTTAATAAACTCTGAAGGCTGTTGTAACAGAGATGCCATTACAGTTTTTAATAAAACCAATGTTTTAGGTTACTTAGTTCAAGCTTCACACACTCTAACTAAATGTACTTTTTACACAAAAACTTCTACTTAATATGCAGTTGCATATTAAGTAGAAGACGCGTAACAATTTTAGCTAAAGTACATGCACATATTTACAATAAACTGGTACTCGCACTTTTATTTTGCATGTATTAAACGGAAAACCTATTTTATCAAACTGTTGTCATTTTTTATTTGCAATCGTATCCTCCATCACTTTCCAGTTCGCAAGGTTACGATCTTTATGAACAATGAAATATGTTTTGTTTATTCCTTCAAAATATCGCTGCTGTATGTCTAGTACAGCGCCGTAATTCAGAAATACAGCCGCGTCTAAATAGGATGCGAGCGCTACAGTCGCGCTACAAGCACTAATTTTAGATACTTAGGCGCACATTACCGCTCGCATAGCACCTTTATATTACTTAGACACACATTAACCGCGCATAAGAAACATTGTATCTTCATACTAACGAACATTTACGACCATTGCAGGACCCATAGCGTATAAATCGGTGCTCATTTTGAGGGTACAGCGGCGCTATAGCCGCTTATACGTCTACTGTAGAACTTGTTAATGCAGCCTATGCCGTTATTAAGAACTTCTAACTGGCTATTCTACGACTTGTTATTAGAGCTTGTGTGCTAGTTGGGTTATCTACTGTAAAAATGAACCTAATGTTTTTTTTTTAAAAAGGAACTGATATTAAATTTTGCTCATACGTGCTCAGGCGTGTGCTCGTGCTCATTTGCTCAGGCGCACTATAAGTGTCCGGAATGAATAATAAAAAAATACTATAAATGTCAGAAATGAATTTATTGTTTCTCAAAATATTGCGATAATGCACTTTTTCATACGAATGAAGTAATTCTGAAAACATTTATGTCACTCCTCCGTGACAATCTCTGAAACATATTTTTCATAACCTTCGACAGCCTGTTCAGGTGATGAAAATCGTTGACCGCGTAACTTGGTTCTTAATTTTAGCAAATAAATAACAGTCACAAGGTGCCAGGTCGGGACTGTACGCTGGATGGCTCATGAGGTCAACGTTGTTCACCTTCAAAAATTCATTTTTCTGTCTGGCCGTGTGAGAACTGGCATTATCGTGGTGCAAGATGATACGGCGTTTACGGTTATTTTTACGGAGTTTGTTAATAACTTCCGCCAAACGAATGGTCGTGTACTAATCACTATTCAGGGTACAACGATTCTCCAAAGCAACAGTAGCCACGTGTCCAGTTTTATTAAAAAAAGAAGCAATCGTCCGCTTAGAGGCACTTTGCACGCGCGTCACTTTGGTTGGTTTCGGCTCATCTCGAAAGACCTATACGCTCGATTGCTGCTTTGTTTTAAGATCGTAACTATGAATCCATGTTTCGTCACCTGTTACTATGTCCCACACCAAATTTTACGCCCCTTCGTTGAATCTGGAAAGCATGGCATAGCACCAAGTGATGCGATCCGTTTTTTGAGCCTCAGTCAAATTGTGTGGGATCCACCGAGAGCACAGCTTTTTCGCACCCAAATGTTTGTGTAGCATTTGTAGCAAAATGATTGTATTTAACTCATGCGTATGCCCAAAGATGCCCGAATCTCATGGTATGTCACATGCCTGTCTGTTTTGATGATACGACGCACACCATCGATGTTTTTGTTGTTCACAGCAGTGGACGGGCGATCATCACGAAATTCACACGACCACGTTTGAATTCTGCATACCAGCTACAAATAGTCGTCTTGCATGGTGCTTCATCGCCAAAAGCAGTTTGAACACTTAAAGTCGTAGAAAATCATACTACGAAAATTTTTACGAGTTAAATCCATGGTGATTTACAACCAATTTTTTAATTGACGTTACTATGTAAAAACAAGTGACAGTCAGATGAAACAAACTGTATTTTACAGCCAAAGAGTTTCATTTTCAAATGTTCTAATTACCTACTTTTTAAATATTGTTTATGTAAGTGAACGCGTATGTAAAACCACAGTTCCGGAAACTTATAGTGCGCCCTATTTAAGTACAAACTGATACTAAAAAGTTAACATTCGGTTACCGGAAAGTGCGCGAAACCGGATTCCTTCCGTAATTTGCCGCCCCTAAAGATGGAATATTTGCTTCAAATTTAAATGGAACCAATCCAACAAAAAAAATCATCAAAATCAGTTCTCAAATGACGGAGTAATTGTGCAACATACACACAAAAAATACAGTCGAATTGAAAGCCTCCTCCTCTTTTGAAGTCGGTTAAAAATATCATAATAAGTTAATAAAGACTTACGAATCTCGTTACGGTGAGAAACAAAATGATGATCCAATATTTTTTACAAGAACTGCAGTTTTTATTAGGCATTTTTCTCAATCAAGTTGCACGGTACACAGAAACGGGATGTCTGAAACAAAATCTAGACTCAGCTACAGGTACATCCTGGGTCGGCGGAAAGGAGAGTCGCGCATGCGTGGTGCAACGAATTGCAACGATTTATGCGTTATATTCTATGCATAAATGTAGATATTCGAGGCTTTGATTCGTGTATCACTCGATAGTATTATTTCATAGGTGATGATGACCGATGACGGCGATGACTAGCTGCCATTAACCTAGGTAGGTTACGCATTATTCAAAGGAATATAACTTCAACTGTTTTTATTTATTTATCAAGAACACGATTACTTCTACTAGTCGTGTATTTTAACCGACTTCAAAAAAAGAAGGAGGTTATACGTTCAGCTGTACGTATGTTATATGTATGTTCTCCGATTTCTCCATCAATTGTTAATCCATTTTGAAAAAAAAAATTTAATTTGAAAGGATGCACTGTCACGGTGGTCCCATAGTCACCAAGTCAGAATCTGATGAGGAAATTCCATGGAAATTGAGCGGAATCCTCTAATTCTAAAGGCATATACAGCGTATTCAACGATTTCTTCGTCAATTGTGGACCTATTTTGAACATTCTGATTTTAGTTAGTAAGAAAATATTATTATTGGTATCCAACTGATCGGTTTGAAGTTTTACTTTACCACTAAAAAGAAATATTGATACTTAAATATTTATAATGTCTAATTAGTTAGTTTTGGAGACGGTGCCAGCCATTGCCATGGAAATTTTATATATTTTCTGTATATAATTAGAATCCATTAAAGTATTTCTTTGTTGTCTTCATCTTGCTGTTTCTCCAATACACTCATGCCGTTACGATTGCCTCCCGCTAGGGTAGATATCTTATTTTCAGACAAGTTCCACGAGCATGTAATTCCACCAGCACCCCTTACCCTTCAAAACCGGAACGCAGTAATGCTGTGAGCATTACTTGGTGGCAGAAATGGCTAAGGTGGCAGAACTTCCCTGGACGAATTCTATCATAAGTAGCTGTGCTGCTACTAAATTTACCTTACTAAGTCTTTTTGTTACTTTTGACTGACGTTTCTAAGGACACAAGTACGTACGCTGACAAAATCGCTCTTTAATGTAGTCCACTCCACTCCACTCATGTACACCATACTCCGCTTGCATGAAAAGTAAAATTATAATTGGTGCCTACTATGAGTACTAGAATGAAAACTTCGTCAGATATTGAATGCGCCAAACTATTGATAATTGGTTACCTCGATGTTAGGTTAAAACCTGGTTACGTGTAGCCCGGCCATACACGGGCAGCTTGAAGCAGCTAGTCTCGACTAGCAAACTACAGTCTTCTATGTACACACATACACGAAACCGCACGAGCAGTTGCGATTGCGTCGGGCGGTTTGCAGCGCGATGAAATTTCATTGCAAACCGCCTTTAGACTTAGGAAATGATAAACTTAACATATGCTCCGGAATCTTATTGTAAAAATCTTTTTGTTAGTTATCTTTTTGTCGACTATGACTGCAAGAGCGGTCCGTGTATGTTGATCATTGACTAACTGCTCGAGCAGGCCGTGTATGGCCACCCACCCACCAGTTAACATCAGATGAGTTGCCACATTTTGGTACCATTTGCAACATTGATGGCCAGACCTTGTTTTGAAAATTCACATTTCCGCGGAATATTTTGCATTTGGTCTTTTTTATGATATTAGTAAGTGCGCATTTGACGCCTAACTCACCTCAAATGACGATGAGGTCCACTAGTATGCACCTAAACAATGCCTATTCACTCTCGCCTTGAACAGGCCCAAGTTATAGCGTTCAGGGAATGTGTCTGCAGGCAAGGAATTCCACTCCATAGGCGTTTGCCTTATAAACCTGGAACCGAATCTTTAGAATATCCACAACACGTCCTAAAGATTCGCTTCCATATATATAGTAGCTAAGTCTAAACTCATGGTACCACGATTTCGTTTAACCAAGGTAAACGTTTCTTTTATGGGGAACTGTATGCGTTCTTACAATAGGATTCGGGAGCATATAATTAGATTATCATTTCCTAAGTTTAAAACTTAGTTTAAAAGTATTTTATTTTAATTTAAAAGTAATATTACAAAACAGAAAGGTATGTGTTAGATAAAGATGTATGGAAAGACAACATGAGTCTAGATTCCACGCAATTATTATCAAAGTGTATTCCATAGCATTTAAGATTATTTGAAACGAGCTTGTCGCGAATCACGCGATAATCAATCATTTGGTGAGTAAACGAACTTTACCCAATTTTTGTACTGTGGTAACACTGCTTTGCCTTTGCTAACATTTTATTTTGACACTATCGAGACGGCAGAAACGTCAACGGCAATGGCGGGAACCGAGTGGACTTCAGTTTGGTTAAAACTAAAGATATGGCTGTGTAAGTGAATGTACCCTAAGAGATAAACAACTGGTAAGTTCCTCTATGTACTGTTTAACTTTACGACATGCATAGACACGGTGGAAAGATACACAACTGAGTTAATTGTCGAGTTTACTATTGTTACGAAACATGTTCTATGACTATGACAATTTGCCACGTGCTGACTCGACCCACAGTAGACTAGCCTCATTGACGCTTATGACTGTGGGTGCCTATCGTTGGCATCAATCGGGTCGGTTTTAGCTGGCATGTACACTTGCACCGCGATTAATGGCTATCGAAGCTTGAAACCTGTTGGGCAGAGGTTGGACTAAAGGGGAGGCTGGAGGTCCACTCGGGGCACCTCTCAGGTGTCCCGCCCCAGTACATAGGCGTGATGTGCTGGGGTTTTGTACGCGACATACGAGGTACACCTCTACGGTTCCTCGTCATCGCACAATGTAGTGTTATGAACGTTTTAATCATGTTTCAGTGTCTTTCTACCCGCTTATATGTTTCTACCCTTAGAATAATAACGCATAGAATGATAGTTTCATATCAAACGAACTGTCACAAGTGAGGCAAAAACCAAATTCATGTAGGCGTAAGCAACTTGTAACTACGCACGTCGGCACGCACACAAATATACAAATAATGATGCCATGGAATAACGTTTCCCTCAAAAGTGGGGAAATTGCATCTTGCTTAACTCATCATTAAGTTAAAGGTGCCTACAGATTTGCCCGACATTGTCGCTCAGGTGCCTACAGATGTGCTCGATTTTGTCGATCGTTACTGTCGATCGACAATATCGATCAGGTGCCTACAGATATGCTCGGTTTTGTCGATAAAAAACGAATATAGCACTTATTTGTAAATCTAAGATGGCGGACACGATTTTTCAAAAAATGCTATGTGGGGTACCTATCCTTTTCGAGGTATTTGGGGATGCTCATTACGAATATGGCACTCATTTCTAAATCCAAGATGGCGGGCACGATTTTTCGAATAATGGCAAGTTGGGTATCGTTTTCAAGGTATTTGGGGGTGCTCATTACAAATATAGCATTTATTTCTAAATCCAAGATGGCGGACACGAGTTTTCAAATAAATGCAATATGGGTATCATTTACAAGGTATTTGGGGGTGCTCATTACGAATATGGCACTCATTTCTAAATCCAAGATGGCGGACACGATTTAAAAAAAAAATGCTATATGGGTATTATTTTCGAGGTATTTGGGGATGCTCAATGTGAATATGGCACTATTTGTAAATCCAAGATGGCGGGCACGATTTTTCACATAATGGCAAGTTGGGTATCGTTTTCGAGGTATTTGGGGGTGCTCATTACGAATATTGCTTTTGTTTGAACTGTCGTGTTTGCCATCTTGGATTTAGAAATGAATGCCATATTTGTATTGCACATTCCCAAATATCTCGAAAACGATACCCAACTTGCAATTATTCGAAAAATCGTGCCCGCCATCTTGGATTTAGAAATGAGTGCCATATTCGAATTGAGCATCCCCAAATACCTCGAAAAGGATACCCATATAGCATTTTTTGAAAAATCGTGTCCGCCATCTTGGATTTACAAATAAGTGCTATATTCGTAATGAGCACCCCCAAATATCTCGAAAACGATACCCAACTTGCCATTATTCGAAAAACCGCGCCCGCCATCTTGGATTTAGAAATGAGTGCCATATTCGTAATGTGCATCCCCAAATACTAAATTCGTAATGAGCATACCCATATTGCATTTTTTTTTAATTGTGTCCGCCATCTTGGATTTAGAAATAAGTATTATATTCGTAATGAGCACCCCCATATACCCCGTAAACGATACCCAGAATCAAAATAAAATAATCTTCATTTCATAGGTAAGCATTATTACACTAGAAATCGTCACATTGCTTAAACTACCGCTCATTCGTAAGGCAGATTCCCCCGAGAAGTATGAGCAAGAAACTCTGGGGGTTGCTCTTTGTAAACAACATTTGTACGCATTTAACTTGCAGAAATGGAGGTCAAATGCACACTTACATTAGAATAAAAAAAAATCTGCAGCCATCGCGATATTGCCTATTCTCAAAAAATTACGTAATATAATTATTTTGAAACAGAATAGCAAAATTGGGAGAAAGAAATCCGTTACTTTGCAACATTTTCGTGTCTTGTTGCAACGAAATTAATTTTCGGTTTTAGTGAATATTTACATAAAAATACAAGTTGAAACGCGTTACTTCCTTGTGGAATGTAATGTTAGTGTCTATTTTATGTTTGTCTTTTTTAAATTTTAAATTTTTAAACCCAATTACCGCAAATTTCGTCATTATTAGCAAAAATTTTTGAGCTGTTCGCGGTACAACTTGACCTTGAGCACTGACAGCCCGCTCGCTCGCGTAAGCCCATAGGGCGTCCTACAATTTGCCTCACTTAGCGTGTGCGGGCTAGGTTTCTATGTGTTATTATTTTAAGTGTACATCTATAAATTAAGTATCTTTTGTCGTCCCTCAACATCTACATTGAGAATATTTGAACCAGGTATATAGGTATTACAGTCTAGTCTAAATCCAAAAATAACAAAGTGGCGACAAAATTTGGTGGATGTGCTGGGATCCATTGACAAACTTACGTTGACTAAAACATATCACGATGGGAGTCGGACT